TCTCCTGAGTAGCTGAGATTATAGGCATGCACCACCATGCCTGGCTAATTTTGTACTTTTAGTAAAGATGGGGTTTCACCATGTTGGTCAAGCTGCTCTCGAACTCCTGGCCTCAGGTGATCCACCCACCTTGGCTTCCCAAAGTGCTGGGATTACAGGCATGAGCCACTTTGCCTAGCCTCCTTGCTTTTAGAAATTGCTGAAATGATAATAATAATAATAATACAGTACTTTGAGACTTCCTAATACTGCTCCCCTCTCTGACTGTTGAACATGTGAAGTGTGACCAGTGTGACTGAGAAGCCAAATTTTAAATTTTAATTAATTTTAGCCAATTAAAACTTAAAATTAATTAAAATTGCAATAACCACATGCAGTTAGAGGCTACCAAATTGGATGGTGTCTGGCTAGACTTCTTTCCATTGCCTCTACTGCCCCATCCTGATCAATTTTGATTTCTCTCTAAGCAATTTCTTACTGGGGAAACTTGTCCTAGAAAAGAGTCATAGAGGATCAGCTCTGACATAGCACAAAGGCTAGATGGCTTCATTCCCCGCCTTCAATCCTTTTTATTTTTCTTGCTGTTGTTACAAAACTGGCCTGAAATGCTTTACAATAAATAACTGGAGAGCATTCTAGTTCTTTCATCCATCAGATGCCACCCAATTATTTTCTTCTTCTCCTAAAACATGATCGTTTATGCATGTATGTCTTGTGGCTTTTGGTGGCTTGCCCTCACCTCTTGTGTTTTGGGGTTTATGAAGATACCTTCTTACTGAGTTTTATTGTAAAGTTTGTCCCTGGGCATTTGGTTTTGCTAATTAGTGGATCTGGTTTTTGTTTGATTCTTTGCTTCTTAATGTAGATTTTCATAGAGATTGAAAATTATACTGCCACTGCTCTGTCCACCAAAATGCTTTAAATAATGTATTTTTAAATAAGGTTTTTCCATGTAAAATAGTCACACTCATCGTAGAATATTTTTAAAAGGAAGAAAGAAATCCCCATGGACCCACCAACCAAAGGCAAACTGCTGGTGACATTTTAGAGTATTTCCCTCATGTTCTTTTTTTATGCAGGGTATCTTTGTATAGTTATTAGCATACTGTATACTGTATAAATAATGCCACATTATATTCTGTTCCTATAACTTTATAATTGTTTTCCATTGCCAACATTCCTAAGCATCCTTGATCAATAACTATGCTAAATCTATCCTGTGACTCATCCATTATTTACTTAGCCAATCTCCAATTTTTGGTCAATTAAAATATCATGGGACATTAGTTTCCTTTAAGCTACATTGGCACCTATTTATTAAAAAAAAAATCCCTATAGAGCAACCTGTAATCTTATACAAGCTGCTAATGAGGAATAATAGCTGTGTCAGGCTCACAAAGGAGTTCCTATGACAGGTGTTAATAAATTATTAACATCTCTGAAGAGGCCTCTTGGTGCTACATTAATAATTGAGGAGACAGGTGTATCATTTTCATCTGGAAATTTTTACCTCATCTAGTATAGAAAAGTTTTAAATAATTATTTTCCCTGGTGTATGTAGTGTTTACTCTGTGTATATTTTTATATGTATATATGTTTATGTATGTATACTGTATACATAGCATCAGCTGTATCCTCAACCTGGATGTTTCTTTTGTCCACCAGACTCAGATCCTATCAGCCTTGCCAAATGAATACATAAAAAACAAAACCCATTATCTTTCTCAATCAAATTTTCTTCTCCTCTTTTGTTTCCTACCTTAAGGTGTGTGTTATATCCACCAAATCAGTCACCCAAATAGATTCCTAAGAGATAAGGAAGTAGAATCCTAATGGATTCCTTATCCGCTCTCTTTTTAAGAATCAATCAAGTCCAATATTTTCTCCTCTTTAATATTATCGATACGTTCTTCTAACTCTCCACACCCATTGTTACTGCTTTACTTTGGCCCTTAGCATATTTTGTGTGGGCTATAGCTAGAATCTCCTGATTAATCTTCAATTTCTTAGACTTGTCCCATTCATTATCTAACCCCATTCCTAGCAATAAAATAAAACACCTACAACTTTTTGCCGAAGTGGGGTTTCTGTAATTTAAATAGCTTTTGAAATGTTCAGAAATATTGAGGGCACCGGAACACACAGAGGGGAACAGTAGACAATGGCGCCTACTTGAGGGTAGAGGGTGGGAGGAGGGTGAGGGTCAAAAAGGTACCACTTAAGTACTATGCTCATTACGTGGGTGGTGAAATTATTTGTAAACCAAACCCCAGCAACAAGCAACAAATGTAAGAAACCCCGTAACAAACCTGCACATGTACAAACCATTTAACAAACCATTTAACCATGTAACAAACCTGCACATGTACTCCCAAACCTAAAATAAAAGCCAAGGGAAAAAAGTTCTCCAATATCAACAGAAAAAAAAATTCTGTTTGTACTTACTAAGCCTCTTCCTTTTCTTATTTCCTTATAACATCTCAAACAGAGATAAATATCTTTGGAGGCATTTGGAAAACTCTTATTATTCCCTCTCTGTGACATTAGTCCTACCTATAGATTTGGGATATAGTCTATGTGTTGTCCTTTTTGTCTCTGAATTGGCACCAGCTCCAGCTAACTGAATCAGAAGTTTAAGCTTACCCAAGATGCGCTATTGAAAGTCTTTCTGTCAGAGGGGTTGAAATCGCAAACTGGGTATTGTTTGAATTAAGGTGGTGCAACTAAAGAGCTGGATTGCCTTTATTGGTTGCCCATGTGTGCAGAAAAACAGAGTCTTCAAAGAGAAAAAAACTAAAGCTGACGGAGGCCAAGCAGCAAGATGAGAGACCATGTGACCACAGTGGAAGAGCAGATTCCTTGTTCCAAATGTTAGCAAGTACCTAGTCTAGTCACAGATGCATCTGGCCTTTGAGTTTTGCAAGATACTTCTATATCCTTAAAATAAAATGGCAACTTTTTAAAAGTAAAGTAGCTCAAGGGTTACTATTACTTGTGACACAGTTTGTATATTTTTCCCCACCCAAATCTCATGTTGAATTGTAATTCCTGATGCTGGAGGTGGGGCCCAGTGAGAGGTGTTTGGATCATGAGTGGCTTGGGCCATCCTCTTAGTGACAAATGTGCATTCTCTCTGAGTTCATAGGGGAGCTGGTCATTTAAAACTATGTGGCACAACTCATCCCCTCCCCCTCAACACACATTCTCTCTCTTGCTCCTGCTTTTATCATTTGAAGTGATTACTCGCACTTTGCCTTCTGCCATGATTGTAAGCTTCCTGAGGTCTCCCCAGAAGCCAATGCAGAAGGTATGCCTCCTGTACAGCCTGTAGAACTGTGAGCTAATTAAATCTCTTTTCTTTATAAATTACCCAGCCTCAGGTATTTCTTTATAGCAGTGCAAGAATGGCCTAATATAACTTGTTATGTGTTTTGTGTTATATGTTTTGTGTATTTTTACATCTCTCCAGTGATCATTATGATGAAAAACACACAAATGTTTAACACATTTTTCTCATCAGAAATTGTAATTTGATAGCATAGAAACTGAATTTGACCTGAATAAAAAATTTTTTTGGCCTATACAGAGAATTTTGGGCTCTCTCTCTCTCTCTCTCTCTCTCTCTCTCTCTCTCTCTGTGTGTGTGTGTGTGTGTGCCTGCACGCATGTGTAAAATCTAGTATTTTTTTTTTACTTTTCTAAGGATAAAGATCTTAAGAACATTCCTTAGTATTATCCAGTATAGTATACTGATTTCCTCTCTACTTGATTGAAACACTGGAGTTGGGGATTTATTTGGCTGATGTTTCCATAAGTTTTGTGGAAAAGCCAAGTCCAACATTGATTAAAGCACTCTAGTAGAAACAAAGAAGAGATAAAATTATTAAGTAATATTTTTCCTCACAACTGCACCAAAAATCCAAAGTCACCAATGATCTCCTTTTTGTTAAGTCCAAAGGGCATTTGATGCTTTTCTACAATTTGACATAGTTAACTAATTTCTTCTTCAATTTCCTTTCTTGCTTGTAGGGATTTGACTCCTGATTTTTTTCTTACCCTTAATCTAACCCTATCTCTTTCATGTGTTTCTCTTGCTCAGCCTTTCTCACTTGGTGTCTTTGATAATCTTCTCTTTTATTTTACTATCTCCCAGGCTGATCTTGGTTCTTAGCCTTTAATTATTTATGTACAATGTGAACTCCTAAATCAGCATTCTAGTCCAGGTTGCAAGATTTATATGTGGATACTTCATTTCAATGTCCCAGTCTCAAACTCAATACATTTAAACGGTATCCTTTACATTCACCACCAGTCCCAAAGAAAGCACCACTGAACAAAACCCTGACCCTCACTTTATATTTTCTGTCTTCCTGAGCCATCCATAGAGGTGATCAAGATAGAAATGTATGTCATCTTCTGTTCATTCCACTGTCATCAACTACATGTAGTAATCAAAGCATGCTAGTTCTACCTCCTAAATAACTGTAGCTTAACACCTGAATAACTGAACAAAAACTTGCAATTTAATTCTCCTAACACCTAACTACCTCAATTTTACTTTTATAATTTATAATCTATAATTACTTTTCATAATTGTCCTAGTGATGATTCCAGATAAAACTCACTGGATTTTTATTTCCATCCTGGCCAATCGTATACACACAATGTAATGCTGACAGGGTTGGGAAGGAAGAATGGGAGAAAGGCAGAAGTTGACGGTTTAAAAAAAAAAAATGTTTTCTGTAACATTCTGTAACCTCATCAAATAAGAGTTCAAAATTTATGTTACAACATTCATTTGCTTGATGCCTTATTTAAACTGCTTTACTGGACATTTTCCATCTGTTAAGTTCTCTGAAAGAGACAAAATTGCCTTGTCATAGCTAGACTTCATGTTCCTGTAGGGCAAACTTTGCAGGGGTCCACACATTTCAAGATGGTTTGGGAAAATAATATAGAAAAGTTTTACATCAACTGAAAAGAAAAACGCATAACTCTTCAATTTCAGTTTTAATTCTTAATAGGATAAAGGAAACATGCATATTATAAATCAACACTCTGTGTTAACAAATAAGCAGAGTTGCAAGCATTGGCTAAAATGAATTTGGGGTATTTTTAGCCACCAAATTTCCAGAAGCAAAGTAGAGATACACCTGGACCTGAATATCTGCATTTGGGAATTTTTGTTTTGTTTTGTTATTTTTAAAAACAGGTGCCAAGTTAGGTCACTTGCTGTCTGGGTAATGTCATTTTTTTGCCATAACCACAAATTGAAGAAAATTGGCCGCTTTTTTTCCTTAGTCAAAGTCATGTACTTCCAGCCCCAAACATATTTAGAGAAATCGTTTAGATTCATGAGCACCGTCTCTGTTCCCCACAGGCTAAGACATTAGGCTGGTCCCTGAAACTCTGGAGTCCTCAGTTCCCTGCAAAATGAGGAAGCTAGACTCTTCCAGACCCAGCAATCTGATGGTATTAGATGCATCTGCTCCTGAATTAGGGCATGAAATGAATTCAGCTGTGGTGCACCAATGTGCTGACTCTGCTTCATCAAAGCCTGAGCACACGATAGGCCTAGCACCATCTCACGTAGCAGAGACAAAGGGCAACCCTCTGCTTCCAAAGGAATTGACACACCTGTTTCTGAAGTGATTCACACCATCATTTGAACAACCCAATGCTCAGAAAACAATCTAACAATCTTCACCGATGTTAGGGATGTAAGATACGGCTGCTTGACAGTGTTTGGAATTGTGGAGAAAAGCAATTGAGGAAACGGCATCTCCACCATGCCAATAGTGAATTTAGTGCCCAAAGTCATCAAAGGAATCCCGAATGATCCCTACAATCTTCTCTCTCTCTCTTTTTTTCTCTTTGCCCTGAAAATAAACTGATAAGTTACTATTGGGATAACTACTCCCCTTGACCCAAGTCAAACACAGGTGCAAACACCCAAAATGAAAAAAAGCTGTGCTCCATCTTCAGCGAAGGGAGGCTGGATCCCAGCTCTTTAGAAGCCGGCCCGCGTACACCCAGGGCATCCTCAGAAGGCCAGGTTGAGGTCCGCGAGCGCGCCCCGTAGGGCGCCGCCCCGGACGCGGCCCCGCCCCTCACCTTGCCAGCGCCGCGCTGGGGCCTAGAAGGTGCGTGCGGCGCTCGGTGATTGGTGGCGGCCCGGCGCTGCCCGGCTGCCATTGGCTGCCCGGGCCTCTTTGTTCCCGGGTTTCTGTCGCAGGCCGGCTGCGGCGGACTGGGCGGCGGAAGTTCGACGCCGCCGGGCGAGTGACTGCGAGGGGGCGGCGCGGGAGTTCCGCAGGTTCTCCAGGTCCGTAGTGGAGCCCGAGGCCCGCGGAGCCCGGCCGCGAGGTCCCGGACGGGAGAAGGAGGAAGCCCTCGGACGCGCAGACATGGACCTGGAAAACAAAGTGAAGAAGGTAGGGGGGCGCTGGCGGCGGGCAGCGGCCGCTTCACCTGCGCGGGGAGCGCGGCACGCGGCGTTCGGAGGTGCAGGGGCCGGTAGGGCGGGCGGGCCGCCTGGCGTGAGCCCGGCCCTGCGTCTTCGGCGTCCGCGGCTCAGGGACCCGGCCCGCAGGTTAAAGGAGGCGCCGGGCGGCCCAGCCCGCTCTCCAAAGTTGGAAGCGCGAGCGAGGGCAGGCGCGGGACGCTCCTCTCCGGTTTCGCGGAGTCGCAGCGGTGGGAGGTGCTGGAAACTTTACTGAAGCTGTTTCGGCGTGCCAGGGTCGCCTCCAAAGAAAAGGACGAGCTCAGGGCGAGTGCGGGCGAGACTGTGACACTTCCTGGCTCAGGAAGTTCAAGTTCATTAAGCCTCTGTGGTTTGGGGCTCTGCTGAGCTTTGACAGCTCTGACCTCCTCCCTTCCAGCTGGGCTGCCTGGGGCGCTCTAAAGTGAGTGTTGATTTAATGCACTGCCTTCGCACTCGTGCTGGTGGTAACTTCTAATGCGATGTGGTTTTGTTTTGTTGTGTTTTGTTTTTTTGCGGGGGGGCGGGGGGAGGGTCATTCATTACTTGTCTAATTCCCTCCGTCTTGGGGAATTGTCTGTCAAAGAGCGCATTCTCCCTGTTTGGGGGCTAGCCCCAAAGGGCGGTTGTCACTAGCGTCTCAGCGCTGGGATACATTTCCAGCCTGGCTGCTGCCTCGCAGGCGTCAGAACCTAAGACCCTACCTGAGCCACTCCCTGGTTATGGGGAGCCTGGTGTCGCCTGGGAGAAAAGGGTGGGGACCAGATTGTGACTCAGAAGGAATGCTGATGTCACATTCCAGTGAATTGCCCTGTGCGAAAGTTCTCGTTCCAGGGGATTTGCTCATATTTTACTTTGTGGTAAATTTAAGCTAGCTGTCCCTTATCAAATAGGCGAGTTTTGCAGAGAGAGGAAGGGAAGAATAGAAAAAACATTTTTTTTTCCTCTTACTCATGGTTCCTAATATTATTTTACCTTCTAAACGTTAAGTTTTTGTCTTGAGCATTACTTCTATTTTATGCCCAGAGTTGGATTTTTGAAAATGGATACAAAGTATTGTGTTAGGAATGCAGAGTTTTAGGTTAGGAAGCTATTGACCAATAACAACTTGAAACGAGAAAACCTTGTTTTTCATTCCTTACTACTAAAATTCACAGACACTCAAAAAGGTATCCAAGAACAGAAAACATAAATTGTTAAAGTAGCATGATTGCATTCTATTCTCTTCCCGTTACGTTTTTTTCTTTTAAATAAATCTAATATTTTTGGTTAATCTTGCTTGCCACCAGGAAAGCATTTTGCCCACTTAGCTTTCTGTTGATGAATACAAGTGGGTAAGAGCTACTTAATTTAGTATTTGTCTAAAATTTGGGGTGGGGGAGGGGTCTTGTCCTTGCTATTAAGTACTTATTTGAAGACAACTTTGTAAAAGTAAACATCTTTTGGGCTGGGGAGGATGAATAGGTGAAGTACAGGATTTTTAGGGCAACGACACTTTTCTGTATGATAGTATAAAATGGGGGAGGTACACAGGAACTTCAAATTTTCTGCTCAATTTTGCTGTGAAGCTAAAAACTTTTAAAAAATAAAGTCTGTTTAAGAGGGGGATAAAAATCAAAGACATTTTTGAAACTTTTTGAGACAAGGAGTAATTCTGAGGCAAAAAGTTCAAAGTTAAAAATTGTATGTGCTTGCAAAAGAAAACTCCAGATGTTATTTATAAACAATCTCCTTGGAGTTTGAAAATGTGGGTTATGATAAATAATGCCCTTGACATATGGTGTAATTTTTCTCCTTCATCCCCACTTTACTTTTAAAAGTTACATTTTTCAACCAAGAATCTTAACTTTCTCTAATCTTACTCTTCCCTGCCCCTACCACACCAAAAATAATTCCACAAAATAAAATTATGAAATCTCATGATATTAACAAATCTGTTTCACTACATTGTCTTCACTGATTCTGAGTCTTCAACCAGTAAATTGGAAGCCGCGAAAAAACTCTAAAGATTCTCACTTTGACTCCAATTTGTGGGTTTCTTGATAGACTTGATGTTCTGACAAAAAGTTTCCCAGTACAAAAGTTTGGAAATCTCAGGAATGTATTTGTGTTCCTTTTAGCAATCGTTTTCTAACATATTCAAAGAAGGACATATTACAAGACTATCTGATTTAGCAGCAGAGCCTTCTTACCCTATTTTAGTACCTAATTTTCAAGTCTCCTCTCTTTCTGACTTGGAAAAGTAAGAGAAAAGGCAGATTAGAAGTTGGAACAAAGACACAACCATTTAAGTACAACTAGTATGACTTCTGTTTTAAGATGTATGACATTTTCTTCTTCTTAAACTTTTACATTGTTGATGAGAAATTTCTTCTAGACAGATGAAAAGCATTATTTTTTCCACATTAACATTTCATGTAAAAAGAACTTAGGTTATCTTTATTAAACAGTGACTGAAATAGATGATACTATTATAAAATTCTTGGTTTGTAAAAGGAAAGCTCATCCACATCAGTTGTACAAATTGGGATTAATTACCCGTTAAAACCCACCATCACAAAGACAAGGGATTTTTATAATTAGACTTCACTATTTTTTGTTTTGTTTGAAGTAAGTAAGCTGTTGCTAGGATGTGGGAGCTAGTTTGGTTATGCAAAGTTTTTGTTTTAATATACTTTAGAACAGAATTTGATTTTATATCCTTGCCCTGTCTTCTGAGTTACACATCTATGCCTCTTTTTTATGTCTTAAGTCTCATCTTAATTGACTTTGTGTCAGTATGGTCTGTGTCTGCTTGGGAAAAACTGTGGACTTCGAGAAGCAGAAACAGTCTCCTTTTGCAGTGAATGGCAAATCATGGCTAACAGCCAGCTGTTTTCCTCTTTCCTTTCTGTGTTACTCTCCCATAAGAATTACTTTTTTCAATTAAAAGCATACCAACAGAGAAAGAGAACCTCAGTAATTTCCTTTATACTGCCTGGAATTGCTGCAGGGGTTTAATTTTACTGTGTTCATTTTTTGTCGTCTCTCTAACCCTTCTATTTTGATTAATCCTAATATTTTGCATACTTTTTTAAGGACTTATTTTAATTTTGTGATGCATTTTAAAATGTGATGCATTTTAAAGATTACATGTCACTAAAAATCCCCTTTCCCTGCATCCAAACTTGTTTTCAAAACCTTTGTCATTAGTCAAAAGAGCATAGTGAAACCAAGTGAATATAATTGGAAAAAGTATGGAACTATAAAGATTATTTCCGTTAGAAATTAGAATGAGTTCTTGGCCTTAGGTAGCCCTGGTTGAAGTGGAGAAAGCAATACCTGGTGACCTGGATGCTCAAATATACAAATGGATTCAAAGCTTGAAGCCATTCTTGCTGCAAGAATTAGGGCAAGGCACATCCATGGCTTTGCTTTGGAGGTGTTCTGCCTCTCAGAAAAAGTGCAGAAGGAAATGACTGGTCCTTGGCTGGGCTTTTATAAAACTCTTCTAACCCGTGGTGTGATTCATTACATTGGTAGAATGTGAAAAGTCACTTTCTCTTAATTGCCCTGAATATTGGTTGGAGAAAAACCTATAGTAGGTTTTCTATTGATTCTGTTACTTTACGGTGTCCTATGAAGTAGAAATAGGAATTTATATCTCTACTGGCTATTACCTGTGTACGATCAACTCCCCCCATGACTTTGTGCATGGCCATACTCCACCTACACCTACAGTACTAAGTTTTTTCCATCCTTCAAGGACCAACCCCTCACACTGCACACTCCTCCAGAATCTTTCTCCATGCTCCCACCTAGATGAAAAATATTTTCTCCTGATTTCCCAAAACATCACTCTCCACCTCTGGATTATACTTATCTGTTGTAAATTTCATCTTCTCAGCTTGCTTACAAATTTCTTGAGAAATGAATGCATATCCTGTTATACTTGCATGGTTATTTTGTTTGCTGTTCAAAGCAATCTTAGGAGGTAGGCCTTAGCTCCATTTTCAGAATGAAGAAACAAGTTTAGATAGTGTAATCTGAAACCTTATTATAGAGAACCTTACTATGAACTTGAACCATAATCTGCAGAATTCATGCCCCTTCCATCATGCCACCTAACCTGAGCCTTATATTCTTTATCTTCCTCACTACATATATGTAGAATGATAACTGTTATAAAAAGAGAAGGTACGTTTTAACACTTTCTTTTTTTAAAGGAATTACATTTGAAGAAGTGGTTTGTATTCCAATAAAATTAGCATCCTACTAGTTTTTATATTTTGTTTCTATTTTATTGATCTTGTATGTATTCTCTTTAGTGTAAGTTACCATTGACATTCTTTGGGCAGAGGCAAAGTATAAGAAAAGTAAAAGTACTGTGAAAAGGAATTTCTGGGAAACTTCTACAGTCAAATAAATGGCATAAACTCCAATAATATTTTGTATCTTATCCTCTAAGATTCTTCCAACTTGCTGACTTTTGGTGGGAACCAATTATGTAAAATGGCCCTGGGTAACAGTGACCCTGTATTTGCCTGTTCGTTTTGTAAGTTTAACGAATGGCATCTGGAACTACAAAGGGATACTCATAGGCTTTTCTCCCTGTTGAGCTCTGCAGTCGATAGAAGGCCTTACACATAGCATGAGCAGGCTAAATCTCTTTTCCCTAGCAGCAAAGTGTTCGGGGTGCCTCTGGAATGGCAGACCAGACAGTTAAGAATAGAGCAGCTAGAAACAAAAAGCAAAAACAAAAAGG